TATCTCAAATATGACATTAAAAGTCAACAAGAAGAATCTTAGTAAACTCGAGATAAAAAAAAAATTCATACTTGGAAACGTCATGAATAAACTATTGAAAACCAAAGATAAAGAGAAAATTTTGAAATCAACCAGAGGGGTGAAAAAGCAGATATTGCATACAGGGAGAATATCATATGAGTAAAAGCTTCACATCAGAACTAGAGAGAGAAAAACATTACAGAACACATCTTTAAACTGATGAAAGAGAAGGAAAAAAAGATCAACTCAGAATTCTATATTCCTAAAAAAATTCTTCAATTCAGGTATAATAAAGACATTTTCATATAAAAGAAAACAGACAAAATTTGTAACTAGCCAATGTACACAATGAGAAATCCTAAAGAATGTTCTTCACCATGAAGGGAAATGATACCAGATGAAAACTAGAATCCACAGGTAAGAAGAAAGAACATTGGAAATGACAAGTCTGTGGGTAAATACAAAATATTGTTTTCTTTTTTTCCCATAAATTTACATAAATATAGCTTATGGTTAAAGTGAATAAGATTTTAGGAGAGATTTTATATTACACATTGCCTAAACATGTGGCAGCAATATTGAAAAACATCGAGAATGCATGAAATGATATTGTTAGTCTCCTGACTTTGTGAGGTAGTAAGGGTGAAATAGAAAATGGGAAGCATGAATTGTGAAGAAAGTGGGAAATGCCAGTTGCAAAATGAAAAATGTTTCGATATTAACTCTAAGTTGACTTTCATAAGTTACAGACACAATTGTTAGCCCTAAAGCAGCCACTGGAAAACATATTAAAGGCAAATGAAAATGTCTAGGGGCGCCTGGGTGGCGCAGTCGGTTAAGCGTCTGACTTCAGCCAGGTCACGATCTCGGGGTCCGTGAGTTCGAGCCCCGCGTCGGGCTCTGGGCTGATGGCTCAGAGCCTGGAGCCTGTTTCCGATTCTGTGTCTCCCTCTCTCTCTGCCCCTCCCCCGTTCATGCTCTGTCTCTCTCTGTCCCAAAAATAAATAAAAAACCTTGAAAAAAAAATTTAAAAAAAAATGTCTATATAAAAACTAAATTGAAAAAAAAACTTTCAATTAGGGTAAAAAAAATGGTGGATTAATCACACCGATTGTAAGGAAGATTTCTTTAAAAATGTAAGTGGAAGAAAAGGATAGAACAAAACATGCAAACATAAGTATAGGAACATTGACCTGTCTATCTTAATATTAGGCAAATCCAACTTCAGGATGAAGAGACATTTCATAATGGTAAAACAGCCAATTAATCAGGACTACATAATTCTAACTATGCATAGAAATTAATAGCATAGCTTTAAAATACTAAAAGAAAGTAGGAGGGCAAAATGGAGAAATGAGTAACACCACAATTACAATTGAAGATGCTAATACCCCTCTCTCAGCATTTGAAGCAAGTAGACAAAATTATTAGGAAGAGTATTAGAAGACCTGAGCAATTGTGAACTAATTAATTTATGGAACGAATCATACCAAGTAAACTAAAGAGCACATAAAATAATCACCCATATAGATCATATACTGGGTCCTAAAATAGTTCTTAATATATTTCACAGGGGAAAAACTTACAGTATTGTCTCTCACTAGAATGGAACTAAATTGGAAATCAACAACGAAATATATAGAAATTATCGAAATACTTGGAGGTTAAATGACAGTCTACTAAATGACCCATTAGCAACATAAAAAATCACATAGAACAATTCAAAATTATTTTGAATTTAATTATAACAAACAGTACAATATATACTACACATTATTTGTTAAATTTGTTAAAACATTTTCTGAGCCATGAACTTGATACCTTGTTTTTCTGAAGAATTATTACAACTCCTACTTCTACTTTTTTTTTTATTTTCTTAATGCATTGTTTTTGGGTTATGAAGAAGTAGAAACCTGTAGTTTCTCAATCTTGGAATTATTCACTTTGGGAATGAATAGTTAATTCTTTGTTGTGGGAGCTGTTCTGTGCTTTGCTGGAAGTGTAGGAGCATCCCTGGCTTCTTCCTTGCCAGCATTACCCCCCCTCCCAGTTGTGACACTCAAATACAGTTCCAGACATTATTGAATGTTCCCAAGTGTTGGGGGGGGGGGGCGGTGAGAGCGTGAGAGGGTAGAGGATTAATCTCCCAGCATTGAAAACCAGAGTTAGAACATCATGTTTGTGGTAAGATAGATGTGGATGGATTTACAAACTGTGTATTTGCCAACTTTGTTTCCTTTGGAGTTTACTTAACTATTTTAAACTTTTATATTTATTCATAGATATACTTTGAAAAAAGACAATTTATACCAGGAGATTAACATTATCTTTGCCATCAAGTTAACTGTTAGCATGTATGAAGTATTATTATTTCTGTTCAACTGTGTTAATATGAACTGTAAAGACACTCCCTAACTGAAATGACATCATGTGATAGCTAAACTACACTGAAAAGTTTACTTTAATCTTTATGGCTTAAAATCTTACTTATATGAACTTGTCTTTATGACTGAAATGTGTTAACCTTCATATATTTCTCATTAAAATATATTAATAATAGAAGTAGATTGGGGTTAAACAATATATTCTATTAAGTGTCAAAGATTCTCTTCTTGGAACTCTTGTTATCTGTGTGTCAAGATATATTCCACATCTGATTCTCAGTGTTCTCCATTGTGACATGAGAAAATATAAATTTTCTGGTAATTTCAATATGCAAAATATAAAGTCCTTTAAAAATTACAGGCCCATCAATAATCTTAAGAAATATATCTCCTTAAATTCTTTACAATCTCTAGAATTATAAGAAAGAATTTAAAACATATTAAAATGATTTAATATGGGCATAGCCTTTAGGCAGAGAACAAAATGAGATAGAAATAATTCTAATGCTTCTCCAGTAATGATGATCCTTCTTCAGCAGAAATTTGATGTTGAGAAGGCAAAAGATATTGCACAACTACAGGTAAATTAATAGCCCACAAATCTTAATATATATATCTATCTATATATAGATAGATATAGATATATAGATATAGATATAGATATATTTTTTTTTTTACTCATTATAGCCTGTACCTATTTTTGCTCAATCATTGAATAACATTGGATAGCCAAATATTTGATAAATATGTTATATACCAATGGCAGTAACTCTAATGACTGGGCATCCAGTAAAACCAGTTTCTCTTTTCAGAAGCCTGTTTAGTCTAGGTTAGGAGGCTCAGCATATGATGAAAAATAGCACAGAGACAAATGACAGTCAATCATTTCTGTGGAGAGTGAAAAGAGGTCCAAAGCAATTATAACTTTAAGAATTAAAGATATGCTTGGTGAAACATGTGGGTGCTCAGGATCTTCAAAAAAAGAGTGGGACGTGTGTCATTAAAAAGAAAGGTAGACATTTTAAACAGGGCACAGAGCAAGAGCAAGGCTCTAAGGTGTATTAAGCTTGAAATCTTTGGCATTCATGAGATAACTGCCCTGCCAAGAAGCCAGATATTGTTGGGGAATATGGGTTGCAGTAAGATTATAA